AGCTAAAATTCATGAAATCATAAAGCAATTCCCTGCCTCTTTTATGATACTAAGGGACATTAACAGTCACAGCACCATATGGGGTTGTAAAGACACAAACTGAAAGGGAAGGACCTTAGAAACAATAATTTATAATAATGATTTATGCATTTATAGTGATAAAGTCCCAACTTCCGTAAATGGCAGATGCATGCAATAGCAATCACTTGCTAATTGTCCTACAAAACTCAGAACATAATGACAAAAGTCCTCTCTGTTGAAAATTAGGTGGCGTGAACTGGGAATGTTCTAAAAAAAAATAGTTGAAGGAAAAAGCATCAAGAACTTAAAACATTTCATGGGAACCTTCATCTCTAGTGCTAAAAAATGCATTCCAAAAAATTAAGCACCAAAAATGCAACAGACTTTGGTCTAATGATAAATGCAAAAAGCCATCAAGCTAAGAGGAGCAGCTCTGAGAGAATTCCCAAAACAACCTACAACTTCTAATTTGCTGTATTTTAAGCAACTCTGAGTGAAAGCATGAAAAATAATTAAAGAAAACAAAAAATGCTGGAAAAAACTGTCAACAAACTCAATTCTGCTATAAAAACAAAGTACATCTGGAATATGATAAAGAAAATAGCAGGTAGCAAATACTGTAAAACACCTCTTGATAAATAACTCTAAAGTAGCTAGTAAGAAGGATATTGCTGACCAACTAACCAAAACAATTGCTAAAAATTCATCTGCCAAGAATGGTAGCCAACAATTTTCTAAAGCTCAAATGAAAAGCAGAAACTAAACTAAACTTTAAATCAAATAATGCAGAGAGCTATAACCTACTATTCACTCTGGAGGAATTAAATGAATCTTTAAAGAAAGCCCACAATATAACTATGGGCCTAGATTATATCCACTATGAATTCATAAAACAAATCATTACAAGTGTTATTAAAATTGTATAATAACATGAACAACTTGCAACTTCCCAAAAATGTGGAGACAGTCATTCATCATCTCTATTCCAAACCCTAGAAAGGATGACACAGACCCCCAAAAATATGGACTGATAGCATTAACTAGTTGTCTATGTAAAACTATGGAGATAATGGATAATGGTCAGCAACTGGTTGACTTGGTACGTGGAAACTAAAGTGACTTCCAATGTGCTTTTAGGAAAAAAAGAAGCACCTTAGACCACTTAATATGCCTAGAAACCTTTGTAAGAGAAGCCTTCATTAAGAAGGAGCATCTCACGGTAGTATTTTTTGATTTTCAAAAGGCATACAACACAGCATAGAAGTTTGGTATCTTGAAAGACCTGCAGGAACTGGGCCTAAAAGGAAGACTGTTTCAATTCATAGAGAATTTCATGGACAGTCAAAGATTTCATATTTGTATAGGAACTACACTATCAGAACTGCAAAATCAAGAAGGGGCTCCACAAGGAGGCATTTTTTGGTGACTCATTTCTGTGTCAAATTTAATTCTATAATTAAATCTCTAAGCCTAGGAGAGAGATGCTCTCTATATGTCAATGACTTTCTAATAATGTACAGATCTCGATATATGCATACCATAGAAAGACAACTCCAATAATGTCTCAATAAAATATACAAATGGGTCACAGAAAATGGCTTTACCTTTTCCAAAAACTAAATTGCATATTGACCCCTGTTTAAAATTAAACAGAGCAGAAATCCCAGTAGTTGAACAACATAAGTTCCTCGGTATAATCTGTGACAAAAAATTAACATTCATTCCCCATCAGAAATATTTAAAAATAAAATGTAGTATAGTCCTCCAACTTCTATGTATAGTAGCCCATAATGAATGGGTAGCAGATCAAGAAACAGTAATTAAATTATACAGATCTTCACTCATAACTGGATTATTAGTCAGTTATGTGCCATACATGATACATGTTTAGGCAATCATGTATCTTTCGATACATGACTGACAAGGCAGATTTTTTTCACACAGCAGGTTGACATTTCTTTCTGCAGTAGACCAGTTGCCATCTAAGGCTATAGAACCTGGTCTGTCCTGCTATTTACCCATAGCTGGGGGGAGAAGAGGATTCATACCTTTCCCAAGGGTATTAGCATGTAAGTGGATGTAATGGATCCAACTGGAATTTGAACTCAGCTCTCTGATTACTCAATATGAGCTGCTGCCCATTAATCCACTGTGCTTCCTAACTGGATTATGCTAGTTTCATATATGGGGTGGCCAGAAAATCATACCTAAAAATATTCAATCCAACCTATCATCAATGCCTCAGACTAGTACTTGGGGCTTTTAGGACATCCCCAGTGGAGAGCTTATCCACAGAAGCTAATGAAATAGCTCCATATTTTAGGTGCACTAAAATGGTACTAAAATACTATGTCAAAATATATCATGCACAACTAACCAGCTTACAGAAGTACCTTTATACATAATTACTGTGAGCTATTCCAACAAAAACCATACAGTACAACCCTATGGACTCGGGGTGAAATCCATTGCTGAAGAGTTAGGGACAACACTCTCAAGCCTACGAGAAATGACTGCAGCCAGCATTCCATCACAATCAAGAAACCCAAAGTCTTTCTAGAATTAAATAAACTCCCTAAACAAAACCTTACCCACTTGCATTTCAGGACAAATTTTAGAGCATATTGGAAAATCATCCTAATCATACACCTATCTACAGGTGAGTGAAAGTGTGAAGACAAGTCAGGATGTGCAGCAGTGAGCCAAAATATTATAAAAAAAGTGGCTCCCAAAAGGAAAGCTCTATTTTCCGTGTGGAGGCTTATGCAATAGAGCTAGCTCTCTATATTATCACAGAGCACAAACAAAAAAATGTCTTAATTTTTTTTGGACTCACTATCCATCCTGATGGCTTTGGAGGAAAAACAATCCAACAACCAACTCATTATCAAAATATTATGCAAAATGAGCAGTACTAGTTGCAAACATAAAGATATCAAATTATGTTGGATTCCTAGCCACATTGGAGTTGAAGGTAACAATAAAGCAGCCAAATCAACTTTAGATATGGATGTGAACTCAAGGACCAAAATCTCATACATTGACTTTATGGAAGACATTAACAAATATATTCAAATGAATGGCAATGGAGGATAACCCATGCAATAAACTCCTTGCAATTCAATTCAAACTAGGAGAGTGTATGACGATAAACTACATCTGCGTTCAGGGTAAGACGATAAACTACCTCCAACAGTCAGGCCTCTGATCAGGAGGCTTTGAGGAGCGTGGAACCACCTCTTAATTGCTAGTGTTCCCAGGTCCACCCTCACCCGGGGTGGTAGCACCTGTTATGGTCCCAGCTATGGGCAAATAGTTAACCCTGAAACTGAGGTGAAAAGCATTATAAAAGTGTAAAAATAGGTTTTAATACCAGAAATACTTTGTAAAAAAATTATAACCAGAAATAAATTTTTGAAGAAAAAAAATATTACCAGCAATACGTTTTTGAAAAAATATTATTACCAGCTATACATTTTTGAGGAAAAAACTATTAATAGAAATAGATTTTTGATAAAACAAAAATATTACCAGGAAAAAAAAAAAGTTGTCGGCATTAAATGACTCATTGAGGTTGATATGCCATAAAATAAACCAAGCCATCAAACTAGGAGAATGGAAATTGGCTTTCAGAAAATCTTGAAAGAAAGAAGTAGTACTGACCCATTTATTCATTGGCCACATGAGAATAACCCACTCGTACTTGCTAAACAACAACGATCAACCAGTATGTTAAACGGCATACACTATTAAACATATATTAACTGAATGTTCAGAGCTTGCTCTCTCAAGACAAAAATACTATAATATAAAAATGTATGAGCTCTTCAAGAAAGCAAACGTGGACATTAGTATTATTATTTCTCAAAACAGTGAGCCTATACCAAAAAATATAAACCAAATAAGAATGTCAATAAAACCAATTTCTTTACAAACTGGATATCTGAATAGAATCCATCAATGAAACCAGACTCTTAACAAAAAAACCTTCTTTACAAAAATACATCAATGAAACCTGATCTACAAAGTGATTTCTTAAAAAGAACACATTTTTTATTCATATGAATCTATTCTAAAATCTTGTTGGCATTAGATAACCCATTGAGGTTGATAGGCCTTAAAACAAAATAAACCAAACCACACACACATGCATATATAAATAAAGATAAAAGGAAAATTTTTCTTTACTGACATGTTTCATCATCTGATGGACTGTATCACTAAATCATTATCTCCAAAAAAAGTTTCTTACAATCTCAAAATATTTTGTGGCTTTAAATAACCTGCAAAGAATTAATGAGCTGGAGAAAATGAATGGATCAATCAAAATAAACCTTGAACAGTAACTCTCTACTTTAACTGGCTCTTGGGCTTTGTATTTGGTGAACATTATTATAAGAAAAACAAACAAAAAAGTGCCATTTTTCTGCTGTTATTTGCATGGATAATGTACTCTCGTAATTACCATATATTTGCAAAAAAAATGTGGGGGAATTTTGTTAATTATCTCAAATTACACAAATTGTTTCCATGTTTGCTTGATGTTAATCATTCAGGAATGTTTGTATCTCAAAATGTTTTTTTAATGTAGAACTTAAACACCTCAAAATTACAAACTTGCCAATAATATTGATGAAAACATTTTTTAAAAATAACATGAAGGACACTTCTTATAAAAGATGTCCATCAAGCAGGTACATCATTCTTCTCTTTTGAAAATTATGGTCGCAAAGAATGTGAGCAATTGAAATATATTCAACTTTAGTGGTAATTGTAGAGAAACTGAATTTCTGACAAATTCTGCCAGAGAAAGAATTTGTGAGAAGAGAAAAATGAAAACCCCAGAAAGGATTATCAATTTTAAGTAAATGTAAAGCAATAATGGTTTCTCTCTCATTTTTTAAAAAGTTTTTTATTGTTTTTATAGGAAAAGACATAATTGGGTCAGAAATTGACTTAAAAGATTGGAATTTTTTTTTATGCTTGCTATTATACCAAATACTTTTATATCTATCTGCCACTCCCCCTCTCTCTGTGTATGTATATATATATATATATATATATATATATATATATATATATATATATATATATATATTTAGTTGGATTGATGTGAACTTGTGACCCTGGGTTTCACACTCTGTGATCGTCAAACAAAACTGATGATTGCATGGAGTGTGAAACCCAGGGTCACAAACTCACAACAATCCAACTAAATATGTTAGCTCCATCACTGATATTGAGTGCTTTCCAAGAAGTACCACAAACATATATTTTTTTTTTTACATACATACACATTTTATATATATATATATATATATATATATAGTTTTAAAGTATGCTATATTTATGGGTTAAAGTGCTCTGTATCAGGGATAGAGCACATGTAAATGTAAAAATTGAGGTCAACACCCAGGGCATTGACTAAAATGTACACACACAGTATATATATATATAAAATATATATATATATATATATATATATATATATATATATATATATGTCTATCAACCTGAATATTTCAGAAATCTTAGTGAAAAATATGCACTCTTTGGCAGGATTCAAACCAGTGTTCCCCCAGGTGAAACAATCATTAGATCTAACGTGCTTGACTTGTTGGTTACAGATTCTGTTGATGATTAAGCAAAGTTGAAAGTACTTTAAAAACAGTAAATCATCATTTTGGCTATTTTGTTGGGATACATTCTAAATTTTTGAAGGGGGATTTTAATTTTCTCCCTCAATAATACTTTATTAGCAATGCTTCATGCATGAATAAAATCTGATCAAAACATGACTAATTACAATGATTTTTGTTATGACTAATGTTTTGGTTAGTAAAATCTTTTCAAGTCTTTAAAGAACATTCCTGTGTTCTTTTCAGTGAATATTTTTCATCAAAAAGCATAGTTTTGTGTGGGCTTAACCCTGCTTTTTAGTTAATCTACCGTGATATTTGGCTGAACTGCAAATTTTTTTGACTATTAGAAATTTTATGCTTTTTCTTGTTTTGAGTTATATTTTACCCAGAGCCATGTTGATAATCCTTGCAACAATGTTCTTCAAAAAATGGTTCTCTTTCCAGGCTTTCTCTTGGCAGATACTCAATGTATAAACTGAGAAAATTGCCTGAAAACTTATTCAAGGGATAAATATCTTTAAAGGAAAATGGTAGCTACTATATTTTAAAGATGGTTCCAAAAAACTTGTTCATATCTCCAACCTATAGCATAAATTGATTATTTAAAATAAAATTTAATAAGCGTCCCACAATCTTGAATGCTTCTAATAAGCATGTAAAAAATTTTTCAGAATTGTTATCAGCCATTTTGCAATCACTGTACACATAGGAAGATGCATTTTCAGTTAGAAAATTGGTTAAAAACAAAGTAAAATCTTGATTGACTGAGAATTTGAAAAATTTTCTCCTGTTCTCAGTAATCAATTTAACTCTAAACATTAAAATTTTCACAGAATAAATACAAAAATCTTATTGAGAGAAGTAAGACTTCTCTTAGTTTTATATTAAATCAATAAATTATATAAAAATGCTAAGTACAGTAGAATCCCTGACAACTGGATTAAGAAAGCATTCTGGTTATGAGGAATTGGTTAAAAAGCCTGGATACGAGGGGGTTATATTTAGATTAAAAGACCTGAAATCAGATTTAACATTTATTTTCAATGTTTTATAGTAAACAAAATAAGCTAATGATGAGTAAAATATAGCAGAATTGATTTTAAGGAAAAAGAAATAAATCATGTAATGTTAATGCAAATTTATTAAATTAAGTATGCCATGTATGCAAAACAAATAATGTAACGAGGATTTTTTTAATCACTGTTGCATGATGATTCTTTCTCTTCTAATGTCACTCAACTTTTTCTGTATTTCGTTTTACTTTTGTTCTTGAAATTTTTAAAACAAAAGACACTTTTTAAGTCTGTGTGCATTAAGGCATTTGTCATAGCTGAACGCTGGCTTTCTTTCCATAAAACTGACAACCCCCTTCAATAGCTTTTTCCATTTCAGTCCATGTTTCATCACAATCATGTTTTTATTTCCTTGTTCATTGTGACAGTGTGAACGCTGGAGAATAGTTTCTTTGGAACATTTTATATCATACAATGTTGATTTTCTTATGTTGAACTCAGCCATTAGTTACAATGAACTTTCACCAGCGTCTAGTCTGTTTAAAATTTCCACTTTTTGCAATAACTCTAAAGTTGTTCTTTTCCTCTTATTCCCATCATCTTTTGCATCAATACAAGCCATTAGGTTGAAATAAGCATAAGCAATTATCTAAAGTAAATTTCCTGAAAATCAGAAATTTCAAATTGGTTACATATCACCTAAATAGTTCAAATATACACATCAGTCATGTCCAGATATGCAGGATTCTGGATATGAGGCACTCTACTGTATATTTATATAAATAATTTTACATGTATTCATGTGGTTGCAAGTATTTTATTTGATACCTCCCTAAGCTGAAGGCTGAAAATTGAATGGGAAAAATTGGCTGTCATTGATATCAATGCAGGAAAAATGTTGTTGTTTTTTTTTTTTTTTTTTTTTTTCAGATAAATTTACAATTAAACCAGGAATCAATTGTGGATTTGATTAAATTGAAACATGAAAAATTCAATAAACATTTGAGGGAAAATTAATATGGCATATCAAGGGAATTGACTGGCTTTGATTTTATCTTGTTTGCAAATACGTTCTTACTTTAGATATATGTTTACATAAGACTAATTATAGAGTTTATGTCTCTGGTGTCAGGTCACTGAGCTGGAACCTATAAATCATTTTGGGGCCTTTTTAAAAGATAATTCTGCTTTGTGGGTGGCTCTACCTGGTGAACAATTTATGTCATGAACAGAAAGGACGGGTAAATATGTAAAAGACATTAGCAAGATGACATATAATAAAGGAAAAAGACAATGGGCATCTATGCGAACGACACTACAATTTACTCCTGCCTCAAAAACAAAAAAATAACCTGGCTGTTTGTCCAATTGGTTGTGGACTGGGGCAGGAATTGACTGGTTAACTTTAATGCCTTAAAAACAAAACTGCTCTCTATTACTCACCACAGAGAACCATCCCTGCCCCCCATTAGAATGTCTGATGCTCAACTCCACTCTCTCTCTCTCACAGATGTGCCGTTGCCTCCCTCTGTCTTTTTTACAAACACTTTCACGGTAACTGCTCTGATGAGCTGCTTTTGCTGGTTCCCAGACTTCATGAATTTAAGCGGTCAAGCGATCCTCTCTGCTCTCGCTACAACTCTCTGTAACCCCTTGCATGCTAGTGGCTTCCTGCCTTGCTTGGGGTGAAATGCATAAAAAAAAACGAAAAAAAACAAATAATGTTTAATTTAACTGCCATCTTCTTTTGATTTCTAACATTCTTGTGTATTCTTCTATTCCCAGATTACTCTTAATTTCAGAATAGGTGGAGAGGGTGAAATAAAAGGGTAGACTGGAAAAAAAATTGTTGAAATAGGGAGGGAGGTTGGAATAAATGGACAGACATACATAGCCATGTTTTTGTGTTGAGGCAGGACTGGAAAAGCAAGGTGGAATCCTGCCTGACAGAAAATTTTGTCATAATGATTTGATGCAAGGTTTTACAAGGCCGCATGATCTTCCTGACACCCAACTCAGACACTCATGCTAGTTCAAGTACACTGAGTGTTTTTTTATCAAAATACCATCTCTAGGAATATTGCCATTCAAAGCTTGAGACCCCATTCTAGCCCCACCCCATATATATACTGTTACTCTCTCTTCCCTCTCCCCATGTCCCTGCATATATTTCTCTATTTCCGTTCCCCCATTTAAAAACTGTTTTCCCCTTTCATTTCTGAATCTCTTCTTTTTTCTCTTTTCTACACCTTTTGGTTGCTTTTTCTTTTTTCCTTTATCTTTTCCCTTTTCCTTTTTCTTTTTCCCCATTTTTCTTTTTCCCCCTTTTTCTTTTTCCCCCTTTTTCTTTTTTCCCCTTTTTCTTTTTTTCTTTTTTTTCTCACTTTTTCTTGTTTTTCTCACTTTTTCTTTTTTTCTCTTTTCTTTCTTTCTTTCTCTTTTCTTTCTTTTCTTTTCTTTTCTTTCTTTCTTTTTTCTTTTCTTTTCTCTTTTCTTTTTCTCTTTTCTTTTTCTTTTTCTCTTTTCTCTTTTCTTTTTTCTCTTTTCTTTCTTTTCTTTTCTTTTTTCTTTCTTTCTCTTTTCTCTTTTCTTTTTTCTTTCTTTTCTTTTCTTTCTTTTCTTTTTTTTCTTTCTTTCTCTTTTTTTCTTTCTTTCTCTTTTTTCTTTCTTTCTCTTTTTTTCTTTCTTTCTCTTTTTTCTTTCTTTTCTTTTTTTTCTTTTCTTTCTTTTTTTTCTTTCTTTCTTTTTTTTCTTTTTCTTTCTCTTTTTTCTTTCTTTTCTTTTTCTTTCTTTCTTTTTTTCTTTTTTCTTTTTTTCTTTCTTTCTTTCTTTTCTTTCTTTCTCTTTTTTTCTTTCTCTTTTTTTCTTTCTTTCTTTCTCTTTTCTTTCTTTCTTTCTCTTTTCTTTCTTTCTTTCTTTCTCTTTTCTTTCTTTCTTTCTTTCTTTCTCTTTTCTTTCTTTCTTTCTTTCTCTTTTCTTTCTTTCTTTCTTTCTTTCTTTCTCTTTTCTTTCTTTCTTTCTCTTTTCTTTCTTTCTTTCTCTTTTCTTTCTTTCTTTCTCTTTTCTTTCTTTCTTTCTTTTCTCTTTTCTTTCTTTTTTCTCTTTTCTTTCTTTTTTCTCTTTTCTTTCTTTTTTTCTCTTTTCTTTTTTCTTTCTTTTTTCTTTTCTTTCTTTTCTTTCTTTTTCTTTCTTTCTTTCTTTCTTTCTTTTCTTTCTTTCTTTTTCTTTTTTCTTTCTTTCTTTCTTTCTTTCTTTCTCTTTTCTTTCTTTCTTTCTTTTCTCTTTCTTTCTTTCTTTCTCTTTTCTTTCTTTCTTTCTTTCTTTCTTTCTTTCTTTTTCTTTCTTTCTTTCTTTTTCTTTTTCTTTCTTTTTTCTTTCTTTCTTTCTTTCTTTCTTTCTTTTCTTTCTCTTTTCTTTTTTCTTTTCTTTTCTTTCTTTCTCTTTTTCTTTCTTTCTTTCTTTCTTTCTTTTCTCTTTTATTTTCTCCTTTCTTTCTTTCTCTTTTTTTTTCTCCTTTCTTTCTTTTTTTCTTTCTCCTTTTCTTTCTCCTTTCTTTTTCTGCTTAATAAGAATAGATATGTTCATCTATTGTCTAGTACACACTGTACCCTAGTCTTTTGAACAGGGGTAGATGATTATCCTTTGTTTTATGTTTAGGATTGGGTTTCCAGTTATTTCTAAAGTCTTTTCATTTCTTTTTTTTCACTTGCAGCAGCCTCTTGTATCTTAGTGACATTATTGCCTTACTTGGAGTAAATTGATTAAAAAAAAAATTTGAATGACCTTGAATATCTGAGAATTGTGATTGCAAATTATTTGAATGACCTCATCTAAAGATTACATTTCAATTATTTTCTTTTCTTTTTCTTCTCAGAACCCAGTGTTCCATTGTCAGAAAATAAAGATGTTTTTCAAAAAGACGACGTTCACATCAAAATTCTTGACACTGATGCTCGTCGTAGGCGAGACAGGAGCCCATTTAAACGTTGGTGGCCCAGGAGAAATCGGCATCGCTACTGGGGTCCATCTCGTAGAGACAGAAAATGGTGGAAGAGAAATAGGCAAAGATGGAGACAAAGACAGAGACCGAACATGACAACTCCGCTGCCAACTAGTACGGCATTAGTAGATACAGAGACAGGTGACAGAAGAGTTATTATTACCCGTCCTGGACACCGAGAACGTCCGAGTCGGAATCAAACTGGAGGAAGCATTTCAATCTCTCAGCACAAAGGTTATGCATACTGGAATGTCCCACCCTTTGTCATGAAAATGGTAAGTGTTTTCATATTCTGATGAGCTAGATTCTCTAGTTCCCCCAGTTCAGACCTTCACAGTTAAGACTTGCCATGCCATATATACAGGAGTGAAACATCTTTTTTTCTCTTTGTATCCTATTGGTAAGAGGGAAGTTTTATTTGGACAGCTTCTTCCCAAGACCTGTTGCTTTTTGTGTCAGACTCCCAGGAGGATGCTTCCCCTACCACTACAATCTTAACCTCTTTAAATCTAGGGTCAACTGTTATTTATTCTATCAATTATGTGCCATGTGTGATACATGCTTAGGCAATCATGTATCTTTTGATACATGATTGACGAGGCAGATTTTTTCTTGTAGTAGGTTGCCATTTCTTTCTGTGGTAGACCAGATGCCATCCAAGGCTATAGAACCCAGTCTGTCCTGCTATTTACCCATAACTGGAAGGAGAAGAAGAGAATTTATACTTCCCAAGGGTATTAGCATGTAAGTGAATGTAATAGATCTCACTGGAATTTGAACTCGGCTCTCTGATTTCTCAATCCTCTTAATCTACAATTCTCATGTCAATAATAATAATAAAAAAAAAAACTCCATTCAGTAACACTCTACCTCGAGTGGTTCTTAGGCCTTATATTAAGTGAAGAATAGCTAAAGACCTCTGGGATATTATTTCTTTTATTTCTTTGCACATGGATATAATTTACCAACTCTGACATTTTTCTTCTATGTGCTGTGTCCCTTCAGGACATGGCCAATCATGGCCCTCTACAACTTCCTACCTTTTGTAGATCTATGTAATCTTTGTCCTTTTACAATTCCTCTAAGTCCCTCTTCTGTGATCCACTTACTCTTTTCCTCTACCCTATTTGTCTTCAGTATGTCCTGTGAGTGTTAAATTCTCCAAGCCGCCTTTGTGTGTTACAGAAGTTTTTACTGTCTCTTTCTGATTTTTTGTGGTTCCATTTTTCTTAACACCTCCTCACTACTCCCATGCTCTGTTCATGGTATTCTCAGCATCCTTCTCATTTGTGAAGAAATTGTCCAGCATTTACTTCCATATAAGAAATTTCATATTACATAGCAGTTCAGAACTCTCTTCTTTGTTTCTAACAACATTTTCCAGTTTCTTAATGCTTTCTTTAGTTTTTGGAATGCTTTTTTTCATTATTCCCCTGCACCTTCAAATTTCTGTCACATTTTCCCTTGTCTGCTATAACACATCTTGGATCTTGGGTTGTTCCTCTTGCTGCCAATCATACATTGTCTTCTTCTAATTGATAGTCTTTTCTTCTTGCTTTCCTTTACTATTTTGTCTAGAAGTTCCTGCAGTTTAAAATTATTACATCAATTTTTTAAACTGTTTCCACCTGTAGCACATTGTATTTACCACCATTTAATACAATCTTGCAAGCTTATTTAGTGTCTACAACTTGTTTAAGTGTCTTAATTTTTAGTGTCTACAACTTGTTAGTGATCATTGAAATTATTATCCCCCTACATCTGTCTTGGTTTTCCTTTACTTCTTCTTCTAGGCACCATACCCTCAAAAACACAAAATGGTGAAAATTTTTACTTCAATCTAATTAAGAGCATGTTGTGTGTGTATTTAACACTAATAATGCATGTTATTAGGTTATATTTTAAGTAAAATTTTTCATAAATTTGAGATCTTTTATTGCTTATGACATTTTAATATTTAGTGATACTATGGTTGGTGACAGATGTTACCTTATGATAATATCATTTCCCCAATATAGATCTGTATGTCCTTATATAAGGAGTGAAAGAAAATGCACAAGGAGTTAATATATACAAAATACATTTTTTATATAACATGGCTGATGCTAACCTCCAGGAAAGTGACACCTTCTCGGGCTAATATTCTCAGCTGATATGAAGTGGAAAGACCATAATATATCGATTGCTAGGTCAGCTGCTAAAAACGTTGGTTCAGTGTATCGTATGGGACAATTTTTCTATCCAGAATCTATCTTGCATATCTGTAAGTCTACCATTCGTCCATGCTTAGAATATTGCTGCCACTTATGGTCCAGTGCCACTGATATTTACCTTGAGTTCCTTGATAAAATCCAAAGATGAATCAGCAATATTATTAGTCCTGATCTGTTGGCTCAGCTTCAGTCATTTCCTATCATAGTAAGATTGCCCTCTCTGTGTCATTTCTAAAAGTGCTTTCATAGCAATTGTTCAGATGAACTCTTCCCTATGGTCCCCAGACTTTTTAAATTTAAACACAGTACTAGACTGGCATCTAGATCTCATCAATTTACAGTTGATCTGGTTAGATGTAGCCATAAGTTTTATGTGAATAGTTCCTGTGGTGAATGACAAGACTGAAGAAAATACCTTTGGGTAATTCAGGTTTTATTCACCTCAAAAGGACATACGAGGTGTAAACAACTGTAAAGGGGGAAATAATTCCTTAATAAAGACAGACAAATAGAATAATATTATTATTTTATTACAATCACCGCCACATTGAAAAAGAAAATGGGTGTAATTGCATTGTGATAAGAAATGTAAATAAATAAAGTTGTTCTTAAAGCTCTAAATGATTGTGGGGTTTTGCAACTTGACTAGAGTGATGCAGAATTTGTGGGCTACTTATATGTCCTTTCACAGAATCATTCATAGTTGAATGCGCAGTTTACAATAACTGTCCTTCGAGGACTGATTTCTTGGTTGAGTTAATATTGGTAATTCCATGGGAATGTAAACCTGTGGTAATTCAGCAAGGCTGCTTTCCCTAGTTCCTTTCAGTGCTAGATGTTTAAGTGGTTTTATTTCTAGGAGTTCTACCTCATTGACCAGTGGTGCATGCTTGCTATTCTTTGGATATCATTTAATCAGTATTTTACTGGGGTGATTTAGCTGCGCAGGTAAGGTGGTCCCATTGGTTGATCATCTGTTGAAATTGAATTGTTGTTCATGTGACAGTTAGTTGCCATGCACAACAATGAAAACCTTCAGACAAGATTTCTTTCCAATGTGACTCTGGAAGATTCTTGGTTTTAATGTCAAAAGGATTGACTTCCAGATGATGCCATCATACCTTTCTACTTGGCCATTACCTCCTGGATTGCCAAGTAGAAAAGTACGATGACGTCATCTGGAAGTCAATCCTAGATTATAGGAAGTAATTCTACTAGTGACAACACCATAATTGTGTAGGAATGTTTTTGTTTCTTGTGAAAGAAATGAGGATCCCTGACACTACAGAGGTAAGCAGGCATGCCAAATATGGAGAATAGATTGGACAGGCAGCTATTTACAGTTTTAGTTTTAGTTTCCATGTTTGGGCATGGGTAGGCAAAAAATGAACTGGGAAAATTCATCTATGATGGTAAGCAGATACTTGTTGTGAGATGAGGAAGAGAGTGGACCCTTAAAGTTGATGCTCAGACAGTCAAAAGATTGAATGGCTTTGATTAGGTGTAGATAAGATGGTTTGTGGAAATTTAGCTTAATTATGTTGCATGTTTGGCTGTTGGCTGTAATTGTGAGGATTTCTTTGACAGAGGCAAATTTTTACTTCAGACAAAGTGTATCATTCTGGTTACACCTGGATGACAGGGATTCATGCAATCTTAACAGTTTGTTGTTCGAGAAGGTAGCACAACTGATCTGAGTGAGCGTGTCTACTGGCACATTTTTTTTTTCCTTCATGGTACTGAATGTTGAAACTAAAAGAAGCACGATTGATTCTCCAGTGCAGATTTTTTTCATTTTTTTCATGATTTTGTGCATTGAACATAAATCGTACAGATTTTTGATCAGTTTTTAGAAAGAAGTGTCTACCAATTAAGAGGTACTTCCATTTCTTGACGGCATTAACTATTACAAGAGCGTTTTTCTCTACTGGTGCATAGTTTAACTTACTGCCTTGAAGTGATCTTGAATAAAAGCCAACTGGTTGATTGTCCTGAGTACTGCTCATACAGAATTGTGTGATGTGTTGGTTTCTATGACAAATATCAGATTATCACTGATCACAGTTTTCAAAGTCTGAAAGGCTAACAAAGCCTCCCCTGATAATGGAAAAGTTTGGGTTAATTTTAACGTTTTGATTTTGTCAGAAAATTTCTTGATCCACCTTATATAATATGCAAAAATTCCACTGATTTGTTCTGGTGGGTGCAGGTAGTTCTGTTAATACCTGCAGTCGTTCTGGGATAGACTTGATAATCCCTTCGGATATGTGATATCCCAAGTGATCAATTGTCTGGGCAGAGTATTTCCATTTCTCTTCATTGTATGTCCAGTTCGGCAGCCTTTTGGAAATGTTGAAGGTTGGCATCATGTTTTTCCAAAGTGGTGCCACAGATTATCAGATTGTCAACATAGGCATAAGTGTCCTATAAATCATGTTTCCTAATGAATTCATCCATCTTTCTTTGGAAACAAGCAGTCCCATCAGTCACACCAAATGGCATCATGGTAAATTGGTAGAGTTGACCCCCAGATTGGAAAGCTGTATAAGGCCCTGTTGTTGGAATGCAGTAGGATTTGATTGTATACACTTTTTAAATATATTCGGCTAAAGTACTGAGCTAGCTGGTTGACAGTGCTCTCAATGTTGGGCATTGGGTATGCATCTTGCACTGTGTATTTATTGATCATTTTGGAATAATCAATGACCATTCTCTTTTATGACTCATGGTTGTGCCCTTCATGGTGATAGGCTTGGTTCAATGATCCCTTATTTCAGTAAACGTTGCATCTCTGAATCAAAGTGTTGGTCTGGTTTTGAAGATTTTTGAGGTTTGGTTGCAATGGGTTTGCAATTTGCAAATAAATTAGCAGATAGGGTCAGAGGGTTAACATTAAGAGTTGTAAGGTTGCAGAAGGTTAACATTGGTTTGCTGCCACCATATTTGATGACAACACTTTTGTGCTTCTCTTGGAATCAGTCCCAAGAATTATATTAGTACACAAATCATTGATTACATATACATGAACACTTATGTACTTATGTCTAGTAAGGTTGAGGTCCACAACACAATATCCTGCAATTTCTGTGGTCTGTGCTCCTGCAGCCATGTGAATTAATCCCAATCTTGAGTATTGTTTTAATTTAATCCTTTTGGTGACTTTGTTGCTTATGAAGCTTCTGTCAGGGCTTTCAGTCTGTGTCTCTTCATGAATAAATTAGTGGATACTTTAAATACAGATTCAGTAGCAGCAGAATAAATACTTGAAAGTGTGGGGCTGTTGTTGGTCGATATTGAGTGGACTGCATCAGCAATTGCAGCTGACTGGACTTGTTTGAATGGCAATTTTGCAAAATGTCCCATTTTATAACACTTATGGCAGGTCATTTGCCTTGTGGATGACAGATTGCCACAAAACCAGCATTGTGATTTTGTTATGGTTAATGTGGCTTCTGTAGATTGTCTCTCTTCTTTGGCAGCTGCACTCATGGTCAGTGTGGATAGATTCTGTTGGATAAATGCAACAGAATTTTTTTTGTGCAAGGTCAAGGGACCAATCCTGACTAAATGCATCACAAATGGCTTCTTCACTGTTAGCTTCTGCAGTTACTGGTTTGGAGTTGCAGTCTTTAGACAACCCACGCTGTGCATGTAGGAATTAGTTGATTGATTTATCAGGTTTCTGGCAATGACTTGTGAGGGGATGGACAAAAATCTTGTTCATTGGTTTGGCATAAATATTTTCTAGTTTTTGTATAGCTTCCTCATATGTATTACAGCTTTCTATATAATCATACACTGTCCAGTCTATGTAACTTAACAAAACACTGAATTTATCCAGCATTATGCTAAGTGTCTGAATAGTGTCCAAGTAATTGCTGAATGTCGGGTACCAAAGTTTCCACTCTTTAGTGACAATTGGTGAATTTGGGGTCCCAAGTGAATTTTTCCAGTTTGAATACTTTGTCCATTTTGAATAATTTTGAGATGAATAAATTGTGGTAAATGATAAAACTGAAGAAGATACCTTTGGGTGAATCAGGTTTTATTCAGCTCAAAAGGACACACGGGATGTAAACAAAGATGGTGATTTTTTAAAACCTTTCTATGAAGGAGAAATAATCCCTTAATAAGGACAGACAACTAGAATAATAATGTTATTTTACCACAGTTTCTTTTCTGATACTAATTGCTTGTGGAACTCCCTTCCAGCTCCATGCTTTTCTGCCAACTTTAATCAGCAAAAATGTAACTGCAATGTCAATTGCTATCTACTCTTCTCCTGATTACTCTTTTTGCTTCCTGCTCCTTATTAATGTTTACTCTCACACCCTGTAACCCCTTGTGTCTTTGTGGCTTTACTGCCTTGCATTGGGTGATATGGGTTAAAAAGAAAAACAAAACAAAAAAAATCCTAATATATATATATTTATTAAAGACATTTTTATGTTTAACATTCTTTTTATAGATACAAGTATTTAAGTAAATACTTGTATCTATAAAAAGAATGTTAACATAAAATGTCTTTAATAAATAAATTGTCAGACTTTGTCCATTTCTTAATAAATATATATATATATATATATATATATATATATATATATATATAAATAAACTAATACAAGTACAAAAGGTTTGTCACTTAGCTGATTGATGTTACCTTCAGTATCCTGACTCCAGAGTTTTGTAGACAGACATGTCTGTTCCCTCATCAGGGGATATCAACAATTGACTGCTTATACTTCTTGATTTTTCTTTTTATATGGACTTATCAATGGTGCAATTATTTTTTATAGTGTATCTGTGTGCATTCATGTGTGTGCACATGTATAAAATATCATTATTTTTTTCTTTTTGCCACATCCCCCTTCTCCCCGCACACATACACACTTTATACTCACTCCTTAATCTTTTTTTTCGTTTTCCTCTTTCAATTATTGCTATTTGGCTTTTGGTTTTTCTAAACAGGTTGTCAATTTTTGAGCATTCTAGTCTTTTCTTGAGTTAGGAAAATTGTATTTAATTTTTTACATAAATAAATAGTTAATTTTAATACTTAAATGATAAAATAAATATTTATATATGTCTTCATTTGGTCATTATTTTGTTTTCTTATCTGATTTTGTGATATTTTATGTACTATTTGGGTATTAATTGTAGGAGGTTAGTACACAGAAGGATAGAGGGAGAAGTTGGAGATTCCAAAGTTCAAATATAAATGTCCTGGTGCATAAAAGTGAGCAAAAGACAGTCCATGAGAATGAACACACACACACACACACACACACACACATACATATATATATATATATATATATATATATATATATATATATTCAAATCTTGCAGCCACCTGCTTTAAAATTTGGGTGGTAGAAGCATTTAGGTATTGAATGTGTCTATGCAAGACTCTGTGTGTCATGCATTTATTTCTACTCTAAGTATGTTATGATGACTGTCGGGACATTAATATTGTAAATAAAATAATAATAATGAAAATTATAAATAAAATAAAACAATAATATTTAAACTCTTTTTAAAATAAATAAAGGTAATAAAAAATAACCCCAGCATGTAGCAAAAACTGTTCCTGCTGGAAATACAAACATCCCACCAAAAGACGTTAAATTCAACTTCTTCACCACAAACCTTGGTATGGGCAATATGTGTTTGACTTCTCTTTGTGATATAGCATGTAATAATAAAAAGTAACTTCTCCCTTTTATTACATGTACCATCAAACAATTGTAACCTGAAAAATACACACACCAATATGCAAAAGAAAAATATAAATAAATTGTATGAAATTTCATACAATTTACCATGCTTTCCTGTTATTTCCTGTTAAGTAAATCTTGTCTAGTTCTTATTTAATCTACTGGTTTAGTTGTTAATCTGTGTCTAACTCTCCATTGTTCTTTGTCCAGTATTTTCACTTCATTCTACATGCTAATGACTACCCTTTTCATTCATACATGGTTAGCCATGCCTGATTTCATTGTTTTACTCCTTACTATGGCTTTTTGATGTTCCTCCAGACTTATTTTTAGTTGCCCCCTAAAAATATGGATGGAGGAACAAAAAAGCTGTTCCTATGGGACAATAGCCTAGTGAATTAAAATGTTGATTTGTGAATTTGGTGACATAGTAATTGTGAGTTCAGTCCCTGGGTGTGTACTTTCACTCAATGGAAACTGGGTGAGCAATGACTGACCAATACTAAAAAAAAGAACTAGGCAAGATATACCTTGACCTGGACAGTGGAATGAGAACTGTGTACCCCCATAGATTAAATAAAGGGTTCAGCTTGAAATTCCCTGTAGGTTGCTTGGATTGATATCTACCTGATGAAGGCTGGAAGGCATAACAGTTAAAATGTTGTGGTAACAAGAAAGATGAGGGCAGCAGTTTGCACAATAAATATTGTTATTAGATATTTATTCATTTTTCTATCACTACAACTTTCGATCTTTTCATGTATTCAAATAGTTTCAAGGATTTCCTATGGATTGTATCAAAGAGTGAAGGTAAAGTGGCAACTTTTACAATGTTTATGAGCTTGTGATCAGATTTGATGCACATCGTATAGTTTTGGAATGTTTCAATTTGAGCTGAAAGTTCTTGAGTCTCTTTAGCACAATCTAAACCATAACAGCTTGAAGAATATGTATATAAGGTATAGCTTTACTTTTAGTGTGGATTGGTACGTGGATTCAGCCTAGCCATGTTTTTCAAAATCAGTCCACCCAAATGAATACACTGTATTAATTGAATTTGAAGATATTTACACTATTTACAATGGAAAGTTTAAAGAAAGCAACATGGCTACCCATAGCTTAAATATTGTGTTGCAGTGTTACAAATAAAATGCTGAGTTTTCTTCAGTTTTCATTACATTTAACTGTAATCAGAATCCTTGTTTTGTTTTAATACAAATACTGTACTTGATTGTATTGTAGCATTTTTATCAAAACATGATATTGTTGATAGTGATTGATAGCTTACCAAATTTTCCTTCTCACATTCACAGTGATGTCATCGATGATGTACCCTCTCGCCCTCCAGTTTCTCTCACCTAATGTAGAAGTAGTGTTTGGTATCTATTTTTTTTGTAATGATTGATCATGTTTTTTTCTATGTGTACAGAAAGTATAAAACATTATTTTTACATGAAATCTTAATTTCACTATTTAAAAATCTGTGAGCATTACATGACTAGTGTCATTATCTATATCTGTATGTACACAAAATTTATTAAATTTTATATAAAACTACCTTCAGGGTATATGCTATTTATATAAAACTACCTTCAGGGTATATGCTATTTATATAAAACTACCTTCAGGGTATATGCTATTTATATAAAACTACCTTCAGGGTATATGCTATTTATATAAAACTACCTTCAGGGTATATGCTATTTATATAAAACTACCTTCAGGGTATATGTATAAGCCATGTTATGGCTGTTGTCCTCATCTTTATTGTTATATTCACAATGGTTTTGCTGTTGTATGCTCTGGCCATCTTCAGGTGATATAAGTTGGAATTTCAAATTGAACCCTTTATTTAGTCCATGGTGATAGATTGTTCTAATGTGACATTACAATACCTCATCTCAGAAATACAGACAGATATTTGAAGATGATTAACTTTGTGCCTTTTGATGTACATGGATTCATTTACCAAGGAAACTTATTTTTCCCTTCTTATTTGTAGCAAAGAAAACTGCAATACAAGATTCGACAGATGTCAAATATGGTATATAATGGACTCAGTGATACATTGTATAACATAACAAGGAGATCCAAATATGTGAGTTGTTTTCATTTTTAGTGTTAATTTTCTTTCTTTTTTTTCTCCCTTTTAATTGATTTTCATCAATGTTTTTATTACTGTGTTAAACATTCTATCTTAATTTTTGAAATCATTTCACAGCAAGTAAGGCAATAAAGTTACTCTAATGGTTATCCCTGGTTGAAAGCTAATCAATCATTCTATTGCAGATCACTTTGAACCATCCCTCTTGCTATTCCCTGGGAGTATCTATTTGCAGAACAACTTGTAGCCAACACACACACACACACATACATATATAGAGAGAGAGAGAGAGAGAAAAGGGTAATTTTAAAAACAGTGGCTCACACCACTATTAACGCATTGCTCTTCAACTGAATTGAATTGATGTCTCTGGGCCACTGACATATAGAAAATGTTAAGATTTCCCTTCCTCTCTGCCATGTGACAATAGCCTAGGAGCAGAATCTCTGACTGATACCAAATTGTTTTGGTTTTGATCCTGGCTTGACGCAATTGGATGTCTAACCACACTGAAGAGCTGTGATACAGCGAAACAGTCTGTCTGTGAATGACTATATATATATATATATATATATATATATATATATGTATATATGTATATATATGAGGTATTTTGGGATTTTGTTGTGCAATTTATATGCTCTGTTATAATAAATACATTGAGCTCTTTTTGTGGGACAGTTTTAATATTTTATATTACTAGGATCCACTTGGATTATATACCAATGGATTTATTACGTGTACCATATATATGTGTGTGTGTTATAAATTTTTAGTATATGGTCCTGATAGAGTTATAAATTCTTGAAAAATGGAAAAATGTTCATGAAGGTATGTTTCGAAAAAAAGGTTTGACTATGCATTTAGCCAATTAGGCTTCATCAGATCAAAGGCAAAAAAATGAGTTGCATGTGTATGTATTTGTGTATATATTGTGTGTGTTTAAAATACAGGAATCTTATATTTTTCTCAAGCTGGTGTTGCTTGTGATTAAGAAAAACAAAAAAAATAAGTTACTTTTAAAATGTTAATTGATTTTTTTTTTTTTTTTAAGTCACTCATTTTGTTTCTCCATTTTTTTTTTATCATAATGGCTGCACCTACAGCTAAACTAATGGTAACAGCATGGGAAACCCATTAAGTCCTGCTTTCTCTAAATTTTACATGTCACATATAAAAAAAACAAAGGGTTTGGAATAACTGACAAATCACGAATCTGCACAAGGTACGTTGACAACATTTTTGTCTTGATAAAAAATTATAAATCCTAAATCAATTTTTGAAAAATGGTTAATATAAAAATCACATTTCTCAACATTGAATACCACATACCTGTATAAAAACCCCACCAGCATGAACTCTTGTCTTCCAAACTATGATAGTAAATGCCCAGAAATATATAAAATAGCAGTGATAAAAAAACTTCCTAAAAAGAGCACACCTAAATTCCTCTTCCCAAAGAATATATCCATGTTAACTAATACACATAAACAGCTATTAGTCAACAATAATTACATCATTGATAAACAAATAAAATTATTCTTACAAAAATAAACACAACAAAACATCAGCATACTTTATGGTAACAAGATATGTAATAATTATAAGCGGGATTAATTTGGTATATATATATATAATTCTTGAAAAAATAAAACTTATAATTACAGAAAATGAAAATCCACCTTATTTCACTAATCTATAAATCTAAACTAATTGACCAATAAAACATGTACAAAACTTATAATATTATTACTATAGAAAAATCATGAAAATCAGAGCAGACCATTAGTTGTCACTGAAGAAAAAATGGTTGAAAACTCTAGTTCTATTAAATCAAATTAAACTAATTGGACATACTACCAATGTCGTTTTTGTATCAGTTTCATCTTTTTACCCAGAATCTACAAAACTGAAGAAAAATTGTGGTTGAAAATAGAGTTCTATGTAAATCAAATTAATTACCTATATTGGACATACTACCATCTCATGTATCACTTATCAGAGCAGAGTGCCATAAAAACATCTAGTTACCCAGAATCTACAAGAACCCTGAAGAAAAATTCTGGTTGAAAACTCTAGAGTTCTATGTAAATCAAATTACTGAAAACATCTCACTATAAGAAATGCCCTGTACATCAACCATCTCTCCTCCACCATCAACTTCACCTTTATTAACAATGAGAGTGGCATCCTTGAAAGTCTTTTAAAAAATAGAAAGTTGCTCACTTGAATTTTAGCCATGCCCATCTTGTGAGGGCTCAGAATAAACTCTATAACCAGTATTCAAAAACCACATAAATAATACATCTCACATAGTCAAAACATGAAAAGAAACTAACACCACCAAAAGAAAATCTCCTTGAAAATATCTAAGGAGGTGGCCAAAAATGCTTGGGACAATGGTTGATATGGATTTTGTACACACGCACTCCAACCAAAATGTAACAACGCTGGAAAACTTAAGAAAAACTAATAAAATATTCCTTGCCTGTCATATTTAACAAACTTTTATATATATATATATATATATATATATATATACACACACACACACTGTGTGATATGCATATATATATATAAAATCTCTACTGTGTGATATATATATAAAATCTCTACTGTGTGATATATATATATAAAATCTCTACTGTGTGATATATATATATATATATCTTCTGTGTGAGATATATATATATATATATATATATATATATATATATATATATATACGTCATCATCAGACAGACTGTTTCGCTGTTTACAGCTCATCAGTTTGGCTAGACATCCGGGTTGCCTCTAGCTAGGATCGAAACCCGACTGAATTGGTGTCAGTCGGACTTCTAACCACTAAGCCATCATTTTACGGTAGGAATGAAGATTGGATTTTTAGCATATTTATTTTTTAGAAACATGCCCAGTGACTGACAGTGACTCAATTAAGCTTTAATTGAAGAGTCTGCTATATAGCTATAATAGTTAACGTCATCATATATATATATATATATATATATATATATATATTTCTTCTGTGTGATATATATATATATATATATCTTCTTGTGATATATATATATATATATATATCTTCTTCTGTGTGATATATATATATATATATATATATATCTTCTGTGTGATATATATATATATATATATATATATATATATATATATATATATATATATATATATATATATATATATATATATATATATATATATATATATATATATATATATATATATATATATATTATATATATATATATATATATATATATATATATATATCTTCTGTATATATATATATATATATATATATCTTATATATATATATATATATATATATATATATATATATATATATATATATATATATATATATATATATATATATATATATATATATATATATATATATATATATATATATATATATATATATATATATATATATATATATATATATATATATATATATTATATATATATATTTATATATATTTTCATTTATACGTTTCATTAAATAATATAGACAAGTTTTTTTCTATTTATTTTTATAAAATTTTTCGTATCTTCTGATAAGTTTGGTAACATTATCATTAACCGAAAAAAGAAATTCACAATATTTATCCATTATTTTTTAATAAAATCTAAGCTTTCGGCTTACTCAAGCCATTATCAAAGATGTAATTACAAACATATCAAACAATATACGGACACGACAGCGATGATAGTCTGTCATTGTTTTGTTTACATAGTGGATCACTAAGCAACGATGAACACTGCATATAAGACGCTAGAAGCGAAAATCGCGTTTATCAATATGTCAAGGAAGGGGATTTTATTATTAGTATACTAATAATAAAATCCCCTTCCTTGACATATTGATAAACACAAATAATAACAAATTTACTATTTCGCCATACAAAAAACCTAAAAGCATAAATTCATGTACACTTAACTACAAGAGCGAATGCCCATATTACTACAAAATAGCAATTATAAAGAATCTAATACATCGTGCAGAAACTAATTCATCCACCAAACAGATTTTTTACAGTGAACTAAAGAATATAAAACAGACACTTATTAATAATAGCTTTCCAAACTATATAGTTGATGAACAAATAAGATGCTTTCTTAGAAATCTCAATAATAAGCAAATTGTATAATTGGTAACAGAAGCCATTGGTTTATACCAACGGCTTTCCTTATTTCATTCTACAATTCACTCTCGTGTAGTCATGTGTGACGTCATGAGATGCGGTGCGATTTTTCGCTTCTAGCGTCTTATATGCAGTGTTCATCGTTGCTTAGTGATCCACTATGTAAACAAAACAATGACAGACTATCATCGCTGTCGTGTCCGTATATTGTTTGATATGTTTGTAATTACATCTTTGATAATGGCTTGAGTAAGCCGAAAGCTTAGATTTTATTAAAAAATAATGGATAAATATTGTGAATTTCTTTTTTCGGTTAATGATAATGTTACCAAACTTATCAGAAGATACGAAAAAATTTTACATAAAATAAATAGACAACACTTGTCTATATTATTTAATGAAACGTGTATATATATATATATGTCTTCTGTGTGATATATATATATCTTCTGTGTGATATATATATATCTTCTGTGTGATATATATATATATCTTCTGTGTGATATATATATATATGATATATATATATATATATCTTTGTGTGATATATATATATATATATATATCTTCTGTGTGATATATATATATATATATAAATATGTGATATATATATATATATATATATATATCTTCTGTGTGATATATATATATATATATATATATATATATATATATATATATATATATATATATATATCTTCTTGTGTGATATATATATATATATATATCTTGTGTGATATATATATATATATATATCTTTCTGTGTGATATATATATATATATATATATCTTATATATATATATATATATATATATATATATATATCTAAT